ACAACAACACACACACACACACACACACACACACACACACACACACACACACACACACACACACACACACACACACACACACACACACACACACACAACCCCTTCCCGACCCACCAACACCCCCCCCCCCGCCTCACCTCAGCACACGCCCGGCTGAATGATGAGGAGGGTGGGTTCGTTCCGAGGTGCCGCGTAGATGCGGGTGTTGCTTGCAAGCACGCCGTTACGCCACTTTGCCCCGCTCGCGCCGAGGCCGCCAATGGACGTCGTGTCCACCGTGTCTGTGGCTGGATCGATGATGAGGACGGAGTCGGCGGCAGCTGGCGTGGCGAAGATGCGGCCGTCGGCCACCAGCACGCCGCCCGCCCACTTGTTTGTGCCCGTGCCTAGCGCGCTCATGGTGGTGGTGTCTGTGGTGTTGGCCGCTGGGTCGACGATGAGCACAGCGTCGGCTCGCCACGGGACGCCGTAGATGAGGCCGTTGTTGGCCACGACGGCGCCGTGCCACTTGTTGATGTCGGTGCCGAGGTTTGCGAGCGTGGTCACGTCGACGGCGTGCGTGGCGGTGTCGATGATGAGGATGGAGGTGGAGGAAGAAGGCAGGCAGTAGATGCGCCCCGTGCCGCTGTGGAACGCGCCCGATGTCCACTGACGGTAGTCGCCAGGGACGACGATGGAGGTGGTGTCCGTGGTGTTGGTGGAAGGGTCGATGATGAGCACTGACGGCGAATCCCAGGGGATGCCGTAGATCAGCTCGTTGTCGGCGACAACGCCACCAAACCACTTGTTCAGCTGCGCAGTCAGGCCAGCCATGGTGGTTGTGTCGACGGTGTTGGTGGCAGGGTCGATGATGAGCACGGAAACGGTTGCGAACGGGATGCCGTAGATGAGGCCGTTGGAGCCGAGCGCGCCGCCCATCCACTTTGAGTTGCCTCTGCTAAACGTCAGCGAGGTGGAGTCCATCGTCTCTGTGGCCGTATCCAAGATGAGAACAAACGCCGCGTTGAACGGGATGAAGTAGATGCGCTCGGGTCCCCCTTCCTCCGCGCTATTGGGAACACGCACACCACCGGACCACTCAAAACTGCGGCTGTCGCTGATACCTGGGATTGGGGCCGTTTCTGCGTTCTGCGGGAACCGGCGGCAGATGGAGGCGTTGATCTTCTCCACTGCGTGCTGCGCTGCAGTCAGGGTGTGTGTGAGTTCCGCCAGCTGCGATTCCTGCGCTTGTATGCGCTGCTGTTGGGCTGCGATTGTGCTTGCTTGCGCGCTCAGGGTGAGGAGCACGTCCACGCCGTTCACGAGCACCGGTTGGGCAGCAACATCGCTCGTGTTGATGTGCAGTGCGCCGGTGGTGTCATGCGTGATTGTGGCGCTGCTTGGTTCGTCTTGATCTGTCGCTGTTGTCACTGTTGGTGTCGCTGTTGGTTGTTGTCGCGACGATGGTTGTGCCATTACAGGACAGTGAGGAGGGTTGACAAGAAAGGGGAGAAGAAGAAGACCAAGAAGGAGAAAGGGCTTGCAGACGTCGCGAGCCATCGTCGTTGTCTCTGTCGTGGGTAGGGTGGGTGGTTGTTGTTGTGAGGGTGTGTGGTCGTCGGCTGCGGGGTTGTGGTTGATTGATTGATGATTGAGATGGCTGCGCGTGCTTCGCACTGGCAAGAAGAGCTGCAAGCACGTCGCGATTTGCGATTGCGGAAATTCTACTGGAATTATTATCAAATTTTCAGCAGTGGGTGCGAAGAGGAGAAGAAGTCTGTCAACGAAGAAGACAACAACACGCCAGACCACCCCCACTCCTCCTCCTAACCCTCCCCCTCCCCCACGCCATGCATCGCGTCCTTGTTGTTGCGGTTGCTGGCTTCTTGGCATGTGCCCTCGTGAATGCTCAGGGCCAATCGTCGTTTTCGCGCGACGCCACTGGTGCACTGCACATCAACACGAGCGATCCACTGGTCGAGCCCGTGTTTGTGAACGGGGTCCACGTGACGGCCACGCTTCGTCACCAAGAAGCCACGATTGCCGCGCAGCGGCGCGCCATTGACGCACAGGCTCAGGCCACTGTGCTCCAGCGCAATGGCATCGACAGCTTGCAGGCGCAGGCATCCTTGCGGGAAAAGAAAATCCGCGCACTGCAGGCAACGCTGTGTCGGCGCTACCCTCCAACCAGAACCGTGGACCAAACCACGCTCGGTGGGCTTGCTGGAACTGAGCAAGGCTTGAAGTGGGGCGGTGCCGTGCTTGCGGACAACGGCCTCATCTACGGCATTCCAACTGATGCCCTTGCCGTGCTCATCGTCGACCCAGCCACCAACACCCTTGACAACACCACGCTGGCAGGCCTGCCTCCAGGGGATCGAAAATGGTCCACGGGTGTGCAGGCTGCAAACGGCCTCATCTTCGCGCTACCGTACACTGCCACCTCTGTCTTGATCATCGACCCAGTCACCAACACCCTGGACACAACAAGCATCGCCAATTTCAGCACGAGTCCAGCCAAATGGGTGGATGCCGTGTTGGCCCCCAACGGCAACATCTACGGTATGCCGAACGGGGCGTCCTCCGTCCTCATCATCGATCCGGCCGCCAACAGCACAGATAGCACGACGCTCAGCCTGCCGGACTCAGAACGTTACTCGTGGCCCGCTGGTGTGCTTGCAGGCAACGGTAAAATCTACGGTCTACCGTTTCTTGAGACATCCATTCTGGTTGTGGATCCCGAGACAAACAGCGTCGATACCATCGCCGTGGGAAATGCGCACCGGTGGCAGAATGGCGTGCTTGCTGGCAACGGCCTCATCTACGGCATTCCCTACACTGACGGCCCTGTCCTCATCATCGACCCAGCTACAAACGCCACCGACACGACGACCATCCTCATGCCTGCTGGGGGCGCACCCAACGTAGGCTGGTTCACTGCCGTGCTTGCAAGCAACGGTCACATCGTTGCGCTTCCAGCCCGATCACCGTTCATGCTCATCATCGATCCTACAACCAACACCACCAACACGTACAAGCTATCGGGAGTAGCGGACACCCAGTACCCGTGGTATGGTGCCGTGCTTGCAAGCAACGGACTCATCTACGCCCTTCCTCTTCATGCGTCTGCTGTGGGCATCGTTGACACTGGCACATGCTGACCGTGCTGTATGTGTGCGTGTGTGTTGTGTGTGTGTGTGTGTGTGTGTGTGTGTGTGTGTGAGTTCGAGAGATGGGGAGGAGATGAGGACCCCACCCACCCACAACCAACACACACCCACCCAA